GCTACCTCCATGTGCTTATGCGCATGCAATGAACCTCAATCTAAGCAAATGATCCCATCTTTGTTTTTTTTGACCTTCAACCTTCCAACTTGGTTCCCCCCTCTTTCACCCTTACCCTAATCGAACTATTACTTAACACTGTGCGTTTCGGTTAGGGGCGGGGCCAAGCCGTGGTATCGTACCAATAGAGGTCCCACAGCGAATCCTTGCAATAGTTGGCAAATTGCCACGGACGGGCATGTACATTTTGTTGCGTTCGCCAGTCACCCCTTCCGGCAAGGAACGTTCGTTCCGCGCGTCCATCGAAACTAGGTCACCCCGCCCACTTGGTGCGCAACCCACCGGCTGCTTTCATAGTCCACGATTTGGCCCGCGATCGAGCGATTGGGGCGGCGCTTGGCAGTGTTTACGACTGAACCTTAGTCGATACCGCGAGCAAGCGCCGCCCCAACCGCTCAATCGCTCGCTCGCTCGTGGGCCAAATCGTGGACTATGAATGCAGCCACTGCGATCTCGAGACGACATTACAGCACCACTAAGTGTTAGTGGGGCGAATGATTTGCGCTGATCCTTGCAACTTCTCCTTAAGCTAGCTGCCGTGGACTAAGCGCTAATCGTATGCCCAACCTACAACTGCGACGTCTGTCAAAAATCGGGGGCTGACGTGGCGGGTGCTATGGCTGCGGCGTGACCTAGTTTCGACGGCCGCGTGGAGCGACGCGGAGTGAATGTGTGCATTCGCTTAGTGTGGCCCTTCAGCGCTACATTGTCGTTAGTGCGCGGGCTCATTGACGTGGTGAGTTTAAAAAGTCCTCGTGCACGTACTCGTATGACGTTGGAAACTTGTGGAAACCCTCGCGATTGACTTATAATGGCTAGCCTTATTCAGTTACCAGCCATTATAAATGTGAATGAAGACAAACGATACTTTTTGAAACAGTTCAAGAACATCATAAGTTGTTATTTATTCTTTATTTCGTGACTCTGCAATATTTTCACCTCAATTCTTCTTAAAAATCGGGCTAAGGTGAGACGGTTTAGCCTTTCCATCGTACAAATGTTATAGTAGAATCGTTCTCAAGCGTCTCAGTTGACGTCTTGAACAATTTTTCGTCCCACTATAGGCCTGGAAGTGATTTGAAGCGTTTGATCTTTAGCATAACGGACTTTTTGAGACTAGCAGTCAATATGCCACTGGAAAGCAAAAGTGAAAGGTACATTCTATTTCAAAACAGATGCTCTATGTGAGATGTTAGTATACGTCCAGATGACCATATGAAATTTGCAATATAATATTAATTCTAGTATGATGGAATCTAGGAGGTTGGAAGAATGGAGTATCAGTGGTCGAGAACAGCTTAGAAAGCACAGAAACTGAAAGAATAGCTGGGAAGCTGTTCTAGAAAAAAAGTTGATTTGCCAAGAGAGGATAATGTGAAAAGCGGTCGAATGAGATAGGTTGTGAATGTTTCTTGGCCCTAAATACTTCATTCATCACGCCTTTCAAGACTTCATTAGTTGAGTGTTCCAAAAACGTTTTTCCTTCTACAGTCCTAAGACCGAGACCGCTGCTGAGAGACCGCAACCTCAACTGCTGAACCTTTCACCAATTAACTAAAGTCTGAGTAAACTAGTGAAAGTGGTAACAGTTTAGCGGTTGGGGTTGCAAAAATGCTACATCTACATTTGAAAGGAGCAAGTAGAGTTCCCATTTTCAAAGCCAGAATAGGTTAATTATATTTCAATTTGTAAAACCACAATGACACAGAAAAAAAAANAAAAAAAAACAGTATAAACAGGGCCATTCCTCTGTTCCTCAAATTTAAAAACGTTCAGTCATCTCACCGGCATCTGACGTCCCGTTTATCATCGGTTTCTTCTAGCGGGTGCCAGTAGCGTCTCCATTCGTTTCTGTCGGGAGCCAGAGCGGTGCAGTGAATCGTCCTCGTTCCAGGGGCACAAGGCTCAGCATTCCTTTCAGTCAGAGCTTCCGCGAAGAAGTTTGACCATCGCGTTGGCGAACGTCCTGGTGTTCGCTTATCGTCCCGAGGGATCAGTAATCGCCTTGGTTCAACGGTCATCACTATGTTGCATGACGTGCCCAGACCAACTTATTTTCGATTTCTTGGTGTAGGCAGGGATCTCTGATCTTTGTTCGCTTCTCGACTTCCGTGTATAAGGAAGTTCCTAGCATCGTCCTTTCCACAGCACACTGTTCATCTCTACTTTCGTAGAGACCAAGTCTCCAGGCATACGTCAAAACAGGAGAGTAGGGTCGAAAAGGTGTGCGTGGAGCCGGATCTTCTTTATCTTCTTCACTACTCCCTCGGCATTGTTGAATGCTCCTCACGTGGAGCGTTTCCTTCTGCTCAGCTCTGGAGGTAGAACGTTCATCATGATCTAAATACACGTAGCTAGAGCATTCAGAGATATTCGTTCCAATTGCTACATAACGGCATTTTGTGTTCTCGCAATACTTCAGTGAGTCTTGTAAGAGTGTGGATATGATTGAATGTGCTGAACCCTTTCCGAAACTCTGTTTGCTCACATGGCAGTTCTTCGTCTAATATTCTGCAAATCCTGTTCAGGATGACGCCTGTGAAGAGCGTGGAAATCACAGACAGCAATCAGGTTGGCCATAATTGTCAATATCGTCTGAATCTCTCTTTCTATACAGCAACACAGTCCTGCTAGTTTTCCCTGACATGGGCACTGGCATTCGACAGGTACCGCGTGAATAGCCTAGCGTCTTTAGATGTTCTGGTTTGATCGTATCAGGACCGGGCGCCGTACAGTTCTTCATCGACACGATGGAATGTCGAATTTTGGGAGGGAGAACAGAAGGAGCGATATATTCGTCTTGCCTAAGATGGTGGGTAAGCAGACAGTCGTGGCGGTCGAAGAGATCTGAGTTAGAAGTCGTTGATAACCTTCTCCATTGCCCTTCGGGATGCAGTATCCCCTTAGGACGACTAGAAGAAATCACAATGGTTTTGGCGGAACTCCATCGGGCTTTGCGAATGCTTTTTCCATCCTCGGAGGCTTTGTCCATAACTGCTGCTCTTCTCTCTTTCATATCTTCCTTTATGGCTTCTCTGCAGTGCTTCGCAAGTTCGGACTTTTGTTGATGATTGCACGCAGCTCGCGCGATTCCACGCTGGCCTATCAGCTCGAGAGTCTTCGAAGAAAGTCGCCTCTTGGCTAATTGTAGACTTTCTGCTTACCTAGCCCTATTGTGAAGATGTTCGACGAGCCGGTTGTAATCTTCATTGATGTTGCCGCTAATGGAATCTTTCCACAAACTCTCAAGTGAAGCAAGGTGATTCCAGTTGACAACAGTCTCAGGACTTTTATCTCTGAAATTCACAGCTCTCTCAACGCATCGGAAAATAGAATCTAGCGTGGAGGACACGATGGTCTGATCCCCTGTGGAGCTTCGAATCAACAGCGATGTCTGTTAGACAAAACTTTCGAAAAAAAAAACTGCTTTCTGCCAAATAACGTTCCTTAGAACCTTTGTGGGCTCGCGAAGTCGGCTACTGTTCCTTCTCTGCGCTTCATAATGGGTTATGTATAGTGAAAAGTAATGAGCCGACTCTGAGTACAGAGTATTGGCAGTCGCGTTTCAGATAACTAACACATTTAATCGCCTTTGCAGTACAGTGGCATCGTAACTGCGAGACCATATAGTAGAGGAGTAGGTGGCTGTAGAGCTTCATTTCATGGGTCAGAATCTAGTTTTCATTAGTTAACAAAACACCAACTCAAAACAAAAAATGAATACTGTTATCAAAATGTTAAGCTCGCGGCACCCCAACCAAGACCGCTCCAATCGAAAAGGCGCCTCGCCACGCGCTCGAAGAATCGTCAGTACATATGACTGTGATAAATAACGATACTTTCGGGCAAGAGCCAAATTCCTGGGCAGCTGTCTTTGAAGAAAATGCAGAGACAAAAAATAAATTGGAGCATTGCGATAAGAAATCAGAAAGTAAGCCCAGGCATTAGATGTAACACCAGAACTGCTCTAGGTCGCATATTGGCGAGTAATTAATTGGAACGGCTACTGGTGGTGCATTTTCATCGTTGTTGCTATTGAATATGTCGCTTCAGCACCTTCGTCTGCCCCACGGAAATCATTGCGTTTTCCGACCGTGTCGAGGAGTTCAAGAAAATTGATGCTGCAGTTCTCGCTTGTTCGACTGATTCCGTTTTTTCTCACCTGGCGTGGATCAATACTGTTTGTTTTTGATCATCTAATAAAAAGTCTATCCCAATTCAATTATAGTGTAATTGTTTTTACAGCCTCGCAAACACGGTGGACTCGGTGACATGAAAATTCCTGTTCTCGCTGACACAAATCACCAAATTTCGAAAGATTATGGTGTCCTCAAGGATGACGAAGGAATTGCCTACAGAGGCGCGGCAGCATATATCTCGAGGCGTTTATTTTTGATTTTGAAGTGGTTCAGATTTATATTTCAGGGCTTTTCATTATTGATCCTAAGGGAATTCTGCGACAGATAACTATCAACGACCTTCCCGTAGGGCGCTCTGTTGATGAGACACTTCGTCTTGTGCAGGCCTTCCAATATGTTGATAAGGTAGGTTCTATTATTTGGCAGCAGTTGATAGTTGTGAGCTTCTGTCTCGCTTACACAAATACCTTCAGCACGGTGAAGTTTGCCCTGCTGGTTGGACCCCTGGTAAAGAAACTATCAAGCCTAGAGTCAAGGAAAGCCAAGAGTACTTCAGTAAAGCAAACTGAGTTTATGTGCTGTTAATTCATTGTACAACATTGGTTGTAGTTCACGTTACTTTTCTCGGTGTATCAATCTATTAGTGTCAATAAAGTTTTCGGCATCTACAATTTCCAGACTGCTCTTTATAGTACCGCCAGTTTCACAGATGAAGGGGCATCAGCAGAAATTTCAATCATATTAATTAACGTTTGCTGATACGGTTGTAGTAACTTGTGGAAAATAATCAGTGGTATTTTTCGGTAGGTTTGCAAAATGGGATTGGTTGTGAATTTGAATGGTTGTGACTCACTTGTCACGCAGTCATTTGCTTTCCATTTGTTCTATAATCTTTTCAAGTTCGCTTCATGATTGCCATTCTCCCCGTTGTCAGTGTAACCTCATGATGGTATTAACTTCATCAAGCGTAGAGTGTTAAATTCTATCGAGCGATTCTTCAAAGGAAATTGCATCTGAATAGCACAAAGAGAATTGAAATTTGGTTTTTCTCTTCGAAAAGGTAATGTGAGCACTAT